AAATCAAAACTACGATGAATACAACCTCACACCAGTCAGAATGGTCATCATTCAAAAATCCACAAATGACAAATGCTGGAGAGGCTGTGGATCAAAGGGAACCTTCCTACACTGTTGGTGGGAATACAGTTTGGTGCAGCCACTGTGGAAAACAGTATGGAGATTCCTCAAAAGACTAGGAACAGACTTACCATATAACTCAGGAAGCCCACTCCTGGGCATGTATCTAGAAGGAATCCTACTTCAAAAAGACACCTGCACCCCAATGTTCATAGCAGTACTATTTACAATAGCCAAGACATGGAAACAGCCTAAATGTCCAACAACAGATGACTGGATAAAGAAGATGTGGTATATTTATACAATGGAATTCTATTCAGCCATAAAAACTGACAACATAACGCCATTTGCAGCAACATGGATGTCCCTGCAGAATGTCATTCTAAGTGAAGCCAGAAAGAGAAAGAAAAATACCATATGAAATCGCTCATATGTGGAAACTAAAACAACAACAACAACAACAACAAGAAAAGAACATAAATACAAAACAGAAACAGACTCATAGACATAGGATACAAACTTGTGATTGCCAAGGGAGAGGGGGATGGGAAGGGACAGACTGGGATTTCAAAATTTGTAGATACTGACAGGCATATGCAGAATAGAAAAACAAGATTATACTGTATAGCACAGGGAAATATATACAAGATCTTGTGGTAGCTCACAGTGAAAAAAAAAGTGACAATGAATATATGTGTGTTCATGTATAACTGAAAAATTGTGCTCTACACTGGAATTTGACACAACATTGTAAAATGACTATAACTCAATAAAAAAAAGTTTAAAAAAAAGAAAGTAACAGGAAAACTATATGGTAGAAAACATCAATATATTTTAAAGCAGGGGAAGATAAATAAAAGCATAAAAAGATAAGAAAAATAAGAAGCAAAAAAATAAGATGACAGAAATTAGTCAAATATATTTATAATAAGTATAAAATAAATAAATGTAACAGAAGAAAATTACCAGCCAAATTAAGATTTTCATCTATGTACTATTTATCAGAGACAAAAACTAAACATATCAGAAAATGTTCAAAATAAAGGGATGAAAAAAATTTACCAAGCAAATACTGATCAAAGAAAGATGAAGTAGGTATATAATAGAAAACAAGGCAAAGCATTACTAGTAACAGAGATATTTGAAGTAAAGAAAAAAAAATGTGTAAAATAAAAATGAATGAAAGGAGCAGCTTTTAAAGGAAATGTCCTTACATTTCAATTTCAAACATACTCTAGAACACTTTTTTGTAATCTTTGACCTAAAAATGCCAACTCCTGAGTTTTATTCTAAGGAAATAATCAGATATATAAACAATGCTTTTATGTACAAGGACTGACTTCATGGAATTACTTAAAACAATGAAACAAAGGAAATAACCAAATTGAGTATATACGAAGAGATAAATCATTATGAAATATACAAATCATGAAGTATTACAAGGACATCAAATTCAGTGTGTCTGAAAAATACATGTTATGAGAAATGCTTATGATACATTGTTAGATGAAAAATAAATTTACAAAAGTATATAAAATATGTAAAAATACATCATATTGGCATCTTTACTTGCAAAAATATGCAAGTGTTTTACATATTCATTTAAATATATATTTTACGTATGTATATAAAAATATTAGAGGGGAATTTAGAGATAGTATTTATTATTAAAGTTGGTTTATAATGTCATATCCTTTATTTTAAGTCTTTTAGCCATTTTGAGTTCATTGTCATATATGGTGTGAGGGTGTGTTCTAATTTCACTGACTGACATGCATGCAGCTGTCCAACTTTCCCAACATCAGTTGCTGATGAGACAGCCTTTTCTCCAATGTGTGTTCTTGCTTCCTATGATAAATAAAGATTAATTGACCATAGGTGTGTGAGTTTATTTCTGGACTCTCTATTCTGTTCCACTGATGAGAGACACAGGCAAAACATTCTCTGACATAAATCATAGCAATGTTTTCTTATGTCAGTCTCCCAGGGCAATAAAAATAAAAGCAAATAAAAAAGGAGGAGACTTAATCAAATTCAAAGTCTTGCACAGCAAAGGAAACCATTAACAGAACAAAAAGCCAACCTACAATATGGGGAAAATATATACATAAACAGCACAACCAACAAGGGCTTAATTTCCAAAATATCAAACAGTTCATACAACTCAATAACAAAAAACACCAAAAAACCTGATTAAAAAATGGGTAGACGACCTAAATAGACATTTCCCTAAGGAAAACATACAGATGGCCAACAGGCACATGAAAAGATACTCAACATTACTAATTATTAGAGAAATGCAAATCAAAACTACA